CCACACATCAGACCTTGGTGAGGCCACACATCATAGACCTTGGTGAGGCCACACATCAGACCTTGGTGAGGCCACACATCAGACCTTGGTGAGGCAACACGTGATAGACCTTTATTAGAGTAGAGATAGAAATTAATAGGTAATTGACGCGGCAGTATAAAAATAACCTATCTGACTTTTTCTTCGCTTGACTCTGAATTCCGCATTCACGAAGGCAAGACGGGAGATTCTCAAGGAATTGGCTGTGGAGAAAGCTACTGCATCAGCTGCAGTGAAGCTCGAGCAGCAAAAACTTCGAAGATTGAAAGCCAAGGTAAAGAAAACTGTTCCCTGGCTTTATTATGCTTAATTACTATTCCGTGACTGCAATGTAAATCAATATTTCATTTTCGGGTTATTCGGAGTATTTTTTTTTAGTATATCCACAGCCAAGGCTATTGAATAATTCGATGATTGATTGTAGATGTAATTCTCCTAACTGCACGAATATATATATACTTGATTGGTAAGGAGAATATGTAATAAATTCAATCCCTTTGGTAGTTCTTGTTATTAACTTATTTGAAACTATGAAATATTACTCTAGTACCCTATCAAAGTATCAGTTCTTCATTAATTGATTTAGAAGCATTTATTCCAGGAAAATATCCTCAGTGAATCAGTTGAATGTTTGGAAAGAATGGAAACACCATAGCACAAACAGCCATTACAGGAAGCACATGTAATTAATTCATTGTCATTATTGAAATATCATAATAATAATTATAGCTTACCCATTAATGCACCAATAGAAAGAGAGGAGGCAAGACTACCATAAAATACATGTCTAGTTGAACTATACCTAAGCTTATCACCTATAATAACCTTATGAAAGAGATCAAAGCAATTGATATTGGTAGAGTATATTCTGTAAGTGAAAAATTGTCTTCAAATATTGATGATGAAAATATAAATGGTTCCTTTAGAGATCTTTGTGAATATTACCTAGGCCAGCTAGTTTCTACTTAGCAACAATATCCAGGAAGGAGTTTCAAAATTGCATTTGGGGGAGATGGCTTTCCATTTGGTAAAAACGAAACTGCTTGTTCCTTTTTGTTAAGTTTTCTGAATGTAGGAAAGCGTGTGGCTTCGAGCAGTGACACTTTTTTTAGTGTTTGTGGCTAACTGTGAGGAGACCTCCCCTCTAGTGAGAAACTACATAAAAGCTTTCTGTCAGCAAATTGTAGAAATACAAGGCAAAGTTTATGAAATAGAAGGTCTCCATGTTTCTTTTTATTTTGAAGAGCTTCCCAATGACATGAAAATGTTGGCCATGTTAGGTGGGGAGCTTCCTAATTCAGCTTCCTACTTCTCTACATTTGGAGATGCTTCCTATTCTGACTGTGGTGACTTGGAAGTAATTTTTGGTTATGATGAAAACTGTAAGTGGAGACCATGGACCTACAACAAAAGAATAGAAGTTGCCGAGAAAGTGAAAGCTTTTAAAGCCTCACTTTCCCCCAAGTTAGCTGGAAGCACACGAAGAACAAAAACCACAGAATTCATAGCAAAACAAAGGAGCCGTCAAGAGTTTGAGCCACTTGTGGGAAGCCTCATTGACAAAGCCCATGTAGAACCTCTCCACTTGAGGAATAATGCATGGCAGTACTTCCTTGCTGTAGTAAAGAAGTC